AATTTTAATTTTGCAGTACTGTACAAGTTTTGAAAAGCAACTTTAGATATGTTTAAATCTTTGTACATTACTTTTGTTAAAAAAAAAGAAAACCATGTATCTGTATCTAAATAGACAATCATGGTTAAAATCTTGCAACGTTCAGTGGTTCCCAACTTTTTTTTATCCCATAAATAAAAGCAGTAAAGCAAACCTAATATGCTTTTATCTTAAATACTTTTATTATCTAAGATTCAGTGCCTTAAATATTTTAGATGCAAAAAAACAACTTTGTGCAGTGCAAATTGTAAGAGGTTGGTATGTGATCCGATTAATGCTGCATTCATTGACACTTTGGTTCCTTCGTTATGTAACCTTCAAGAATGTTCATAAATGTGGGAAAAGTGGGAAGCTAAATTAAACCCTACCACTGATTATAGCTGAATAAAACAGCACATATTTTCAAACATAATCTAAAAGAATCAAATGTGGGAATTATTTTATATATGTGACTAAAATCCTGTTGAAATAAGATAAGATTTATAAAGGGTTGAGACTAAAGTTTCAATAGTAAAGATATAGATATAACAAAACATATAAAATAAAATTAATTCAGTCCTCAATTTATATGTTGCAGAAAAAGATTTGCTTGGGCTAACAGTGGGCAGCTATTATTAGCATTAGCAGTGATTTGAGCTAAAAGCTAACAACAGTTAGGACTGTTGCTAATAAAAAAATAAAAACAAAATGTTGACCAAAATATTGTTTTTAGGGAACATATTTACTTGATCGGGTGTCACGTAGCTAACAATTTTGCTCAAACCACCTTTGGTAATTTACCAAAGTTAGTCAATTGGCAAGTAATTAGCATGACCCAAGCTAGCATTTAACTGCTAAAATCAACTGCCAAAATGCTGATTTTTGAAAGATATACGTCAAAAATTGACTACTGTTGTTTAACATTATTTAGCAACAATGTCATATACTAGACATGAAACTTTATTTCTTCAAGTTTAAAATCTATTTCTTTTAAGGGTGAAAACATTTTAAGCCTTCTATCTAATCCATCCAATGTTGTAAGTTGGGAACCACTTAATGATGCTAGCAAGATTTAATCAATCCATGACTTTGAATATTAATCATGAACATCTAAATTATTTATGATTTTGCCCCATATAGTTTTACTAAGATACCAGCAGAAGATAATTTTCTTTGTAAAGTGGAATAGCTGTATATCGATTCCTTTGGTAGCCCTGCAAATAAAATAACTAACAATAATTAAAAATTTTTACCCCAAATATGGATGATAACTCAATTCAACAAAGAGTTAGATCTCATTTTCTGTAAAAAAAAAAAAAATTAGACCTTAAATAATCTAAGGTATCAGTAGCCTTTTCTTCATGAGGATTAGCACTGAACTAAAGGGATATATATATACTTTTATATCGAATACTGTATCATGCCAAGATTGCAATCAAAAAGACTGGTCAATCTTCAAATGTGTTATTCAACATAAACTTAGAGGCTCAACAATAGTATATAATCTCAAACACTATTTGATATGTATGGAAGCTTTATAATATTGTTTTTAAAAATGAGATATGAATTTGTTTTTTTCCCCCTAAACTAGTTTTTAGAAACCAAATTTAATGAAAAATTCCTAAGATCACATTTAGAATGATCGCGTCAAGTTACGATCAATCTTATGTATATAGTTTAATGCTTGCCTTCATCTGAAGTTTTCTTTTTGCCAAAAAAATTAAACATCATGAGGTCTAGATTGGTGTAACCTTTTGGTATTACCATATTTTCAACCATATTTTCTCTGAAGTCTTAAAATGTGTCTGGCTAAACATGCAAATACACATAAAACTTGCTTGGGGCACAACTGGTACTTTGTATTCTAGGCATCTGCTGCCCCTTGCAGAGGGTTGCCCTGGGAGGAGAGCCAGATCACCTATTTTATGAATTTTGTTTGGCTAAAATCACTGCACACACTAAACTCGGGTAGGATCCTCTTGTTTTTTGTTTTTTTCATTTTAACCATGAGAAGCACCGTCTCATAAAAGGGGAGAACAACTGTGCACAACACAGGTGAAAGGCACAACACTGAACACAGACAAAGGAAAGCATCAGCAAAGGTGCTCCGCAAGGACCCAGATAACAAGAGAGAGAAAAAAGTACTTCTTAATGAAATATTTGGGTACTTTTTATCAGCAGGCAGTCTGCTCACAACTACCGTTAGAATATAGCTTCACAACGCACACACACTCAAGAAAGAAGGAAATAAAAACAAGACAAAGTGGCCTCAAAGTTTGAGGCTTGACTCAACACGCTCAAGAAGCACGACAAACTGGTTCGTCTTTTCCTCACCAGGATGCACCGTATTTGATCATGCTTAATTTAAATGCAATAAATATGTTTACTGTACAAAAGATGAAATACAAAGGCGACGAATGCCAGTCATGATTATGCAATAAATATCAGTGATATTATGTAGAGTGAAACCTCCATAAAACTATTAGAAGAAATCAACAATATGAAGCGTCATGTTCAAATTTAGATTTCTTAATAAAAATCTTAATAGTTTTCCAAATGACTAAGTCTTAATGTATGATATAGTAAGCAGGCATAGGCCGAACCAAGGTATACAGACGAAAAAATGGAAACTTAACAATTTTCAGTTAAATGAAGTTTTAAAACAACAAAGCTTTGTCCAGCCTTAAGTCGCATATCACAATCCAAACCCTCTCCCACCTGTTTTTGATCAATGTTGGTCAGTTGGTTGAAAAAGCAAGGCTACCATGTTTTCCCTTGAAGGGTAGAACAGCAAGATAGTATGATAACCAGCAAATATGCACATTAACTTCCAAACTACTGGATTCTGCTTAAGTCTATGTTTCAAAATCAAAATCTATAAATTTTAAAAATGTTGTAGACCTGTAGTACAGGCAATACTTTTAGCAGCAGTTTGTATAAATATTGCTTTTTCTCTTTTAAATACATAAAAGCAATGAAAGCTATTTGTATATTTGTTTTAAATCTTCTTTGTGAATAGATACTGTGGTTATTTTTTCCCCAGGTTATTGACCTAAACGAGAATCATTCATTAGGCAGAAATCCTTAATCCTTATATGTTGTCAAAAGGTTAAAATGTATATATTTTAAAACATTTTCACCTGATAAATGGCTACGCTGGGTTTGATATTGTATAAGCTGTCCACTAATTTTTTGCTCTGTATTCTTGTACCTCTCCTTCGCAAGGTCTGAGATACAAACTCTAAATTATAAACGTGGAAATGAAATAGCATTAATAACTTTGAACTGTCTGGTAGCATGAAAATTAACCAGATTTATAAAGCCCTGAATCTTATATTTATACGTGTTAGCTTTATACCCAATTAAAACCCAGAAAAAAAAATCAACATGAGACAAAAAAAACCAAAACATTTTGACAGTTATCAGGAGTCTTTGGCAGCCTTTAACGGTAAGAAACAAATGTTCCCTGCACAAGAACATGGTTGTTTAAAGTGGTTTATCTTAGCATATAAAATGGAAGGTTGAGTGGAAGGAAAAAAAAATAATGTGGTAGTAAAAGGGCTACAAAACAGAAGGGATAACCCCACAAAATTCAAGAGTTTGAAGGAGATTCTTAGTTATCGGTTTAAGGGCTTCACCAGGACAGGGAGCAAAGGTGTTATAAGTTACCCCTGAGCCAAGGACAATGGCAGAAGTTGGTTTGTGGTCCAAAGTCTTATTTTCATATTGAATTGGAATTTTGCCATTCATTATCAATTGAAGATAGTGGAATCTGGACAAAGATACAGAAATAAAGTAGCTTGAGGCATGATGGGAAGTCACTACAATCAGTAATGAATAGTGGGGTCATGCCATGTTTTGAGACAGAAGAACACATTAAAAGCAACCTGGTCTTTGATTTAACTTCCTTTTAAGGATTAAGTTTTTCTGTTCCATCATCCTTCGCAATGAACTTATGTGAACTGCTGTATTTTTCAACTGTTCTATTCATAATTATCCTCATGACTGTACAGAATAATTACTGTGTTATGATTTTATGGGTTTTTAAAATGCGGCTACAAGCCACTGATAATCAAAGTAAACAGAATTGTCACTTGGAATCATGTCACTGTGTAATAAAGTGATATAAAATAAAAAAGAAAGATCCAATGACCCTTGAATTCAATGAGATAAAACTGTAGATTCCAAGAGAAAGTGGTTGCCCGGATGCCCTGATCAAAAAATAAATAAATAAAAGAAATATAAGATTACAAAGGCTGTCTTGACATTAAGCTGATAAAACTCCCACTGTGGGAAGTTTGCTTTACTAACTCCAAAGCCCTCGCCTCAGTGCAGGGGTTAGGCTTCTGAGGGTTTTTGTGAGAACAGAACAGTTAACGGTTGCTACACGTGCTGCAGACTGCAAGGGAACATTTGGTCGTCAAGCAGAGAAATGAAAACAGGACGCAGTGAATATCTGTACGAAAAATATATCACAAGGAGGCAGATTACGGACTGGCCATGACTCGAACCTTTATGCACAAATGGTGAAAAAGGAAGCTTTTTTTCATCCCTAAATACAGTATTTAGATATCCATTCATTTTAAGTAGAAAATTTTGATTCTAATACTATTTTGAAATTTTCTTTTTAGGTTCAGGAACACACCAGAAAGGTTGGAACCGAAAGCAAAAAAAAATAAATAAACGTGATAGAAACAAGGGAGGCACAAGCTCACACCCATGTTCACTAATGGATGTTCAATCTGGAAACAAATAAAGATATTTTTCCCCCCCGTTTAAATACACTCACCCACAATAATATGTAAATATAGGACAGCTATGATACATTAATCAGTAAATACACCATTCGCATTCGAAATTTCTTATATTTTCACCATGATTACTATATAAATCTTAATATGGATTCCTTACATGCCTGGACACCTTTGTGCACTAGTGGACCACGCCCGAAGGCGCAGCGGACACGAACCGCCACGAGGCGGGAGTCATCTATTTTCTTTTGTGTCGAAATATTCCCGATTTGCACAGATGGATGCATGTCTCTTTGTTCTTTTTCTAGAAGATGCTGCCTTTAGCCGCTCTGCCTCCACCTCAACCTGCCATGGAGTCTAGAAGAGGAGATCTGCTTCTTCAAGCCACTGTTTGCCTCTAAAATAAAAATGGAGTCCTTTTATTTCCTTCATACTCGCGAGAGGGTCCTGAGGAGTTTCTGCTCAATTGATCCAAATCTGTGACAGATGGCGAACATCCTATCTGATAAAAGCCGATAAAGCAAATACAGTTTTATTCTTTACATCCATCCAATTAGATCAACACAGATTCATCGTCGCATCCTGAACCGCAGAGAGGAGTATCCCTCACTTGTCGCATCTTTAAACAGGAGAAGGAAGGAGAAGAGGAAGGAGGGGCCGCCTTGCAACAGTGAAAAGGAGGAGGAGCCAGGCGGAGCCTCCGCTGTAGAAAGGCACGCCGGAGGAGAGGGGAGCTGACTGATCGCTGCCGTCCTAGGATGGATGATGAAAACGGGTGTGTGCGCTTCTGTTTTTGATGGTGCTCTTATTCTGCTCTGAGGCGGCGTCTCCTCACATCCGGGAGCCTCGTTCTTGAAGGATCTGAGGGTTAGAAAATAAAAGTTTCATTAAAATAAACATTCAGTTTTGGCATCATACAGTACAGGGTTCCCGCAGGTCCTTAAAAAGTCTTAAAAGGCATTGAATTCTTCAAAATAAAACTAAGACCTTAATTGGTAATAAAATGTCTTAAATCAGTCTTTCGTAGGTCTTAATTTTTAAACATAAATAGGATCATTTTTATTACGATTTATTTTTGTATCTAAATAAAACATTAAAATTGACAGTTTTATTTTTTTTTATTTAAAAACAATAATGGCTCTCCATTATTGGTTCCGTTCCGATAGAGGAACCAATAAAATCGTTGTTGCGGCCGGGACATTTGGGAGATGCGCATTAACTTTTTGTCTGGAAAATATGAGCAAGTGTAAATGTAACGAAAAGTGGCTCCAGCCAAGAGTTTTCTCCATGGCTAAAAACAGGGAACATACATGAGGCACAGTGGATTTTGTACAAGAAGCAATTCAAGCTCGGAACAATGGGAATTAAGGCAGTGGAGTCGCACATGCGAAGCTCGAAACACAAATCGTCAAAATCGAGTTACTGAGAAACAGCCGGTATTTCTCAGTTTAGTTCCACCCTTGTCTCTGCAACGCCTCCACTTATCACCAAATCAAACATACTGAGAAAATGATACAAAGAAAAATAGCTGCAAAAAAGACTTAGCACTGGTTATGTTGTGGCTTTAAAACTGATTTGTTTTGTTCCCTTCTTAAACAAAAATTGTGAATTCATTTAAATAATTTTTCAAATATATCTTTCATTTGTGTGTTTTTAGCTTTCTTCCTGTATGAGAAGCTTTTCAAAATTTAAAACATTAGTGCAGTGGGAAATGTTAAAATAAACCTTTGGGTTAAGTTGTCGCAAGCAGGTTTTTCTTGTGTTTCTTGTGAATTTGGTCTTAAATTTTTATTTTAAGTGGCATTAAAAAGTCTTAAAAAGTCTCGAATTTAACTTGCCTTATGCTGTAGGAACCCTGTAATATGCAAGGTGCTTCTCTCTGAAAGATCATTTAGTGACTCCATTCCTGCCAGGTATTGAGATACCCTGGGTTTTAAATCAAACTTGGACGCACCACCTTTAGTTGTTTTTGCTGCAGTAGGGCTCTTATGCTGAAATCATAATAGTCAAAAAAAGACATAGGACCCCCAGTGAAATATTAAATAAAATCTAAATTATAAAATGTACATATATTGATGTTTATTTTTTGTTTATTTAGCTGTGGGAGATATATTTTTTGTTTAATAATTAAAGAAAACCGAAAAAAAAACAGCATTTCTGGTTTTACAAGGTAAAATTATGTGGCCATCAGACTTTACAATGCCAGATTAAGTCATTTAATCTAATTTTCTCTGGATTTATTGTCTAGATTAACAGATTTTTATTTGCATTTATTAATATATTTCTGCCTTTTATTTTACCTATTTATTTGTAAAATTGAACATTTTGGATGGAGTAGCTTGTCAACATATAACTAATTTCTTCTTTGGATCAAAAAAGTATATTCTTATTATACCTTATTACTAATCGATTCAATGATGGTGAGCTGGCCTGGTGGCTCTGCAGCAAAATGTAAAGCACAATGTGCTTCACATTCTGCATCAGGGCCTTTTCTTAATGTTAAATCTTTTCTTGTGTCTCCAACATTCACTTTTAAGACAAAAAATGTCTTCATGTATTTTTTTTGTTTTGTTTTTTCCAGTGAGCCAGATATCTTTTCTACACACCCACTATTAAACCTGCTATTGGTCTGGTGATTTTAGTTTCTGGATATTTCCTTTAGCATATAGTGATCTGATTCTGTTTCATGAAGGGAAATGGTTAATTTTAAGTCAACGTCACACCAACTGGAAGATAGCTCCGCCTACGTGAAATGTAAGCCAGGCTGAGCAAAGCACCGACAAATGTAGGATAGTTTTATAGGTATTTAATGAGGCCTTTTGCCTGTTCAGCACACCTTCAGGCAAAGACAAGAGACATACGGTAATTGTTTTGGGCATCAAGTCAGTAGAGTATCATTACTTGAAGGCAGAAACGCATAAATCTGCAATAATGCCCACACTTTCCAGAGACGGATGAAGTCATTCTGAAACCTTTTAAAACTATAAAAGCGGGTGGGTGAATAAAATAGATAAACGGGAGGAGAGTGAATATCTGAAGCATTTTATAAATCAGGCTGTGTATTAGCACATTGCTAGCAATTCTGTTTATAACCAAATATTTTCAGAATTCTAAAGGAAATCAAGCTTTTTTAAACTAACCATAACCATAATAACTGTTTGTTACCTTCATACAGAGGAAACAACAGTTAGCTCCTATTTTTAACCTTCATGTTCAGCTGCTCACAGCCTGCCTGTTCATCTTTTATATTTTTTTAAGACTTGTTTTCGATTTTGGGAATATAATAAACTGTTTTCCATCCTCTAAATAGATCAGATAATGTGCGTCTTAACTGCATAATCCCAGATGGCGACAATTAGCCTTTCGATAGACGTATTTTGTGACCAAAATGAGCATGTCAGTTAACTTCCATGATTGATTGACAGGTCGTATCGCGTCTAATATTTTGAGATCTCTTTAAATCTTTATAAAGTTAAATATATCTGCATAGAGACAGCAATTTGAATTGAATTTGTCAGCAATAAGGTATCTCTGAAATTAAAATAATTGGAATTTATGTAGATAATTAATGTTAAGCCTATATTATATGCTGATTTGTCCAGATTTAACTTACTGTAATATTGTGTGTAAGATAAAGCTCAGCACACACACAATTTTAGTAATTATTTTGTTAAAAAAAAAAAAAAAACATAATAAAAATAATTCTTAAAGGTATAGTGGAGGAGGTTCTTTTTCCGGGTGGATCACCAAAATAAGTGGTCCTCCTAATTGTCAATCATTCTGGTGAAATGTTTACGTAAGGCTGTCCTATGTGTTCGTCCCCATTTTCACTAACCGGTGGTGAGTCTGACCTTTTGGAAAAATTGCAAATCTTCTTTTGCAATTTTTAAACAGAGTGCGCACGAGGAGAAATGGGCTCTTGCATGCTCTAAGATGCATTTAATAAGCGTTCTCTCTCTGCAGCAGGTACAGGGTTGTGCATGGGCATTTTTTTTAAGTGGAAAATCCTCCACTTTGCCTTTAAGTTCAGTTTTCATTAAAATATCATGTAGCAATATTACGGACTGAGTATGGAGATAATATGAAACGATCATCAATATTTAGCTGCAAAAAAGTCTGAAAATCATTTTGCTTTATAATATATATTTTAAAATTTAACTAGATTTAGGACAGTACAATACAAATAGTAAAATTGTTGTATGTTGAATAATTATAACCTACAAGTGGTTTAATTTGGTATGTTACGACAGAATTGGTATTTACAACCTAACCATTTCGTAAAAGTGAAATTGTTTTTTATTAAATAAAATATATTCTTTTCAACATGCGCTATAAAAGAAAAATGTATTAACTGGTGTGTGGCTCTTTATTAGGGGTGTAAATAATATTCGTTTTGTATCGATGCATGGATCCAACAGCCGACGATCCGATGCATCGACACGTCCGCAAGAGAATCGATTAATGGTTTTTTTTTTCTCCGGTATATTTTTATCCATTTGCTCCTGGGCGTAATTCTCCCTCCCGTGCTGCGGTGGCGCTAAACCTATTTTGCCCTCCTACCTCGCTTCCTGGTTACACTCTTACAGCAGTGTGTTGCAGTAAACTTGACACATACATTTTTTTATTATGCTCAGTATTTAAACGTGGTCTGCGCTACACACTGTGGGTCTAGATACGGCCGAGGCGGTGAGGAAGTGGGGGGCGAGTTTAGTCCGACGACGGAGGGACATGAGGGCCAAAAAGGGCGGGGATCCAGGTGGAAAAAGGATCCCAGCGTTCTTGCGCACCTCGCTCTTCTAGCGGGTCAAACTTCACGAGTTGTTTTCTGCAATTTCGGTCATGAAAACAAAACAAGCCGGCCTCCTGTCAGCGGCACTGTTGAGGAGCAGCGGAGCGTCTGTGGAGGGGGCGGGGACGCCTGGAGCCGAGGTATTGAACTGCACTCATTGTCTGATTTTGTGCAGTATTTTTTTATGCAAGGCGCAGGGGTATTAGTATTTTTCAGTAAATGAGCTTTTAATAGGAATAAGTGGAGTGCAACTTCTCTACTTCTGTTATTTTCTGTAGTTTCTCAAAAAAAAAAATGCATAACGATATTACAGCTTTCAATTACTTATTTCAAATTTGAAACATTGTCTAGCCTGTAAAGGTGTAAAAAAACAAACAAAAAAAACAAACCAATTAATCGAATCGCATAGTGGTGTATTCTTGAGTATCGAAAATAATTGAATCGTTGGGTCAGGAAATCGATACTGAATCGAATCGCCATGATGGATGTGATTTACACCCCTACTCTTTACATCAGCATTTTTAGCTTTCTACCACACACTTTCATATTGTTTTATTTTCTTATATTGTATTTTGTTTTAATCATGGGAAATGTGACATAAATCAATAGAAAAAAAAACTCACCAGACTAACAAACTTCATCAGTCACGATCACAACACACAATGTAAGAGAACTGAAATTCTGAGTAATCATACATTTGTAATCTGACAAACCTATGAGTTATTTTAAGTAGCATGTATCTAGTATGTAGTAGGCTAGTATGAAGTCCTCACCAGAGGAAAAATTTGGTATTTAGATTTTTTACAGGATGTTTCTTCATTTTTTAAATTAAAGCTGATATTTATTATCTACATATTCCTCCACCAAACTTAAAAACTTCTGAACACTAACCTTGGCTTTCTCCGTCGGCTCGATAACGATGCCGTTTGTAGAGTTGTTGAGCTCCCGGGAAACGACGCACAAAAATTCCGCCTGGTCCTCGTTTCCGTAGTTGTAGGAGGAGCCGATACTGATGAGCTGAAGAGAAAGAGATAAACAGCTGTACTAGGGCTGCCACAACGAATCGATAAAATCGATAAAAATCGACTTTTAAAAGCGTTGGCAACGAATTTAATCATCGATTAGTTGTGTCGCGCGATTAATGCGTCATCCGCCGCCGCCGTCATACCGGGGAAGAAAAAAAATATGGCGGAGCGAGTCAGCGCCGCAGTTGCAGTGTTGCCAACTCAGCGACTTTTCAGACCCCTCCGGCGACTATTTTTTTAAAAGGCGACTAGCGACAAATCTGGCGACTTTTTACGGTGTCACTGGCGGCTTTTGGAGACTCTTACGTGAAAGCATGTATCGTTCCTACTCTTGTCCTCAAGCGGCAGCTGCTGCCGTGGGGCGCCTCCCCCATCCCAACGCCTTTCTCCCTCTCCCACAGGAATCCCTCTCAGCGCTGCAGTCCGAGCCGCAGGATTTTAGTGAGGAGTTTACCCTCAGCGTCCAGACTGCAAATGAAGCGCGCATGCCCCGGGATTGACGGCGCAAATTGATCACAATAATTAAAATAGCCTGCGCTTTGTAAAGTGAAAAAACTCGTAACATGCAACTTTTGTAAAAAACAAATGAACATGGCACGGAAGCACCACTGTTATGACGCAGCACCTGAAAAGAAAACACGTTGGAGCCTTCAATGGCAGTGAAGAGAGCTGATCAGCAGGATGAGTAACCATGTTTGTTTCATTTTAAAGTGGGGAAACGTAAGTTAGTTTCTCAGGTAGCTCATCTGATGCTTTCCTTAGCTTGTTAGTAGGTTACAGACAGTGATAAGGTTGGCTACTTATTTTACTTTTAATTTCATTTGAATTAGCTTAAGCAGCGTTTATATTTTCTTTATAAATAAATTAATTTGCAAATTATGAGGGCAAGGCTTTTAAAGTTTAAATCTTCTGTCAAAGATAAAGTAAAGAAGATCCTGCAATTTATGGAAGTAAAGCAGAATAAAATCCAGCAAGATCAGTAATATGTCAATTAATTATATGCCACATTCCCATGTAAATATCTGTCTTTGGAGGATGTGTTTTTTAGCACCCCTAGAATTATTTTATTCCAAATACAATTTATAATTTGAATCACAGGGCTATTTTTATCTCTATGGTTCAGTATTTTCTCTAGTAGCAACTTTAACTGCTATACTTTCCTGTCTTAAAAGGCAGAACTCTTCTAGTCTAAAAAAAACTCATTTGTTGAAATGGGGGGACCTATTGTTTGAACCCCTTAGGGGCTTTTAAAAACAAAAATGTCTCTTTTTGCGCTTTATGAAACAAAGTACCCTATATTTTGTGGATGTACAGCTACATTTCTCATGTAGGTTTGCGTAGTTTTAAAACAAACATTTATTTTTCATATTGCACCAGTACAGTTAATGAGAAACCTGTACTTGTGTGCTTGTTTGTTCTGTCTAAAATGTTTATTTTGAAATAAAGAGGTTAATATAAAAAAAAATATTTTGTGTCCGATTCATCGATTAATCGAAAAAATAATCGGCCGATTCATCGATTTTCAAAATAATCGTTAGTTGCAGCCCTAAGCTGTACTTTTATGTGTTTCTTTTTTTACGTCTACCCTTGACATCACTGTCGTAAAAACTCCTGTAGTATATATGGAATGACCTCTAAATGCCTTGAAATGTTGGAGTTCACTTATTTTGGTTCAAAACTGGAAGAAAATCTTGAAGCAATATCGACAAGAAAGGCCAAAACCAAAGCCTCTTTATCCGCACCTGCTCAAACTTCCAACCGTCCGACATGGTTGAGACCATCTGCGTGAGTTCCTCCTCTTGGCACTGCAGTACTCGATAAACATGCTTCACAGGGCCCTGAGGAACACACACACACAGGCACACACACGTTAACAATCGTCCGAAAGCAAGCACACCATTATTTCTGTTTTTTCACCACAGATGAGCATATTTAGCTGCTCGGTTGCCGTCGCCTGTTTGGTCTCACCCTACCTGAGATGTTCGGTTCTCGTTGTCCCGTATTCTCTCTTTCACCAGCCTCACCAGGGAGGCGATGTTGTAGAACTCGGCTTCTTCGAGAACGCCTGAAAACATAAGTGCGTGTAAGAAGATGATCGAATTGATGGCAGCGTTCAGTGACAGATGCTCTTCTGCGTTACCTTCCTCAGCCAGGTTCTTATCCATGATCAGCTTTCCATGTCGAAGGTAATTCAGGATGGGGCCAAAGTAGGTGGGGTCCCTGTCGATAAGGTAGGCTCCAGTCTCATCCTGTAATCAACAGCAACCATCTGTGTTTTTGCTCTAAAAAGCAGTATAAATGGACTGCATGGTGTCTGTATGGTCGTGAGGACCAAATAAAGATGGGTAATGGTATCAAGTTTGTATGTTTGATATATTTATGAGGAAATAAGTAGAAAACCTTTTCATTTTCCCCAATAATTTACTGGAGCACCTTTTGACTTTTTTTTTTTGCATGTTCTTAAAATGACCAGGGTAGACTAGAATGGTGAGATCTCCTTTTCCGAGATCCGACACAAAGTTACTGTTCAAACCACATGGTCTAGCCAATATGTCCCCTTTTCAAATCCCAACTGGGTTTTCTAAAGAACTGACTACCACTAACAATAACCCAAACCTACCATTAAGCCCAAGCATGCATGCACATGCAGTTAAAGTCTGGATATAAGAATATCTGCTGATCAATGCCAAGATCATGTATGTGAGTTTTAGAAATTGAGACAGGTCAAGAGGTCTTAAAACCTGCATTTCTTATGTGAATTCATACATAAAAAACAATGGGAAGCTGATTGAAGTAATTGCAAAAATAGTTTAATTTAATGGGGTTTTTTTTTGAGAAAATTGACAAATTTGGCACTAAAGAATATCAGGTTTCGGCAGAACAGCATCATAGAAAATTATTCCACCAAACAAAAACATGTGGTATTATTTTTTTAAGTTAAAGCTTAAAATTCTCACTAACATTTGGTTTAATACATATTCTGCATGGGTTAAGTATGCACTTACAGTCAATTATGTCGATTTTTTAGATAAAGGCAATTTTAAGAAGTTTCTCAAAAGACTAAGGATTGAGAAAATAATTGATTCCTAAGGTAAATTAAACATGGTTTAGTTAATCTTGAACATGCAAACGATAATTCAAAGACCAAGCGCTTATGGCTGAAGCCCCAGAAAAGAACTGCAACTATAAAGCGTAGGAAATAGCATGAAAATCTATTAAAAGCACACCCCTCCCTGCCAGGTGATTTGCTGTTCTCTGTGGGATGTACAGTAATTCACAACCTCTGGAACATGCAGTTCCCGTCTAAACCAGAGAGTGGCAGCAGTGATACCATCACGTAAAATATCCTGCCTTGCAGAGGTTTGAGATGTGAAGCCATCAGATCATCACTATAGCTGAGTCAACTGTAAGAAGAAGAAGAACCCAGCCCAGGTAGAGCGGGTCCTTGAAGGACGCAGCCGCTAAAATCGAACACACCCAATATCATGTATCTGTTCTGCCCAGAAACCAAAGCAGGTGAGTCCAATCTGCACAGTGAATTCAATTGTGCAGATCGGACTCATCTGGTTCAGTGGATGGGCAGAAAGAATACATGACATACAGATGACTTGATGGCTCCACATCTTCCACCTCTGCTACTTAAACATTTTTAAAGGTTAGTATATCAACCAAAAAGTTAAAAGAATACAGCAATTAATTATTTACAAAAATATACAACAATTAAAGAGGACTACTATAGAGTTCATGCTGCTTGTCCCATTTAATGTTTATGTTATGTAGAGCCATACATTCATTTAAACAGCACCAATGTATACTGTACATATGTGCATAGATTTATTAGCAAGAGGCTCATGAAAATCTGCTATATCTTCAGTGAATTATTTGGAAAATACAGATGCAGTTTCATTGTGATCAACATAATTGACCCAGATCTGGTTTCGATGCCCATTAATTTTCGGCCACCCCTCAGAGCACACGGGGCCCTGCCTGGTCACCCCTGTGACCATTTCCTGGAATCACCACAGCTTTCAAATTTTGGTCAAAATTCTTGTTTCTTTTCTAATTTCTGGTTTATTGAGACTAAAATTAGATGGCCACAATGCAGTGAGAGCAGCTGGCATGGAGGTAACAAATCAAGGTATAAATGGAAATTAACTTAAAGGCTCTTTTTTTGGCCAAACATGACTATAAACTCTCATTCTTGTCATTTTCTGAAACTTGGCAGCTCTGGCATACACTATGAAATACGGTACCAATGCAGGCTTGGGCTTTTCAAAATAAAACCGACAAATGTAACGTTTATTAAATAGAATTAGTTATCTACATCCCTTTGGTCTCAAAGTGTTTTATGTACTTCTGTGAATATGGATATAAGATAGTTATTTTAATATTTTTTATTTGTTTAGTGTTTAACATGGTTAATTTGTGCACTTTATTTCAGAATGCGCATTTTTGCACCTGAGTTTCAATTGTTGTTAAACCAGAACTTTGTTTCCAGTTACCGATTTCACTTCGGGAGATAGCAGAGCACCTTTAGATGTTTCTCACAAGAAGTCATAATGGTCTAATATGGAATTTCAAAATGAAATTTCTCATTCTCCGGCTTTTTCTCCGCCTCAAGCTTCTTTTCTGAAAATACGGCTTTACGATCAACCAGAAGCAGTTCTGTGCAAACATGCGGAATCAGTTATATCTGATATCATTTATCTGACGGAATTATTTTTTATAAACTTTAAATGCCATGATAATCACATTTAATGAATTATAATGCCAATTAAGGCTTTTATTTTTAAATAATAACAATTTAATGACTTTTATTGATTTCTATTGACCTGTGAAAACCCCGTTACAGCCACAGTCCTCCTCCAAACTGTACCAATAACCAGGAATCAAAACAGGACCTAAAATACGTACAGCTAAACAAAAACTACTAAATTAGTGCATCCAGAACTTCAACCCCCATCTTTCAGCAAGTCTTTTTGGCAGTGGACTTCAAACATTGGGAGGAGGCCTCGTGGAAGGCCCAGGACACGCTGGAGGGACTATGTCTCTGAGCTGGCCTGGTGTCATCCCCTCTTTTGAGGGGCTTTAAGTTGAAATTCCACATCAGCCATTGTTGAGCTCTGTTGAGAAGTATCCAGGGGTGCCCTACTATTACCCTGAAATGAAATCGGTAACTGGAAACAGGGAATTTCTGAGCAATAGTCACAGATATTTGGAGATATAATTTGGAGATTCCACATCAGATCTAGATTATACAATCTGAGAAGCATGTAGGGGTATTTTTATCAACCTGAAGTGATCAGTAACTGGAAACAAAGTTTTGGTTTAAAAACAATTTAAACTTAGGTGAAATAAATTGGGATTCTGAAATTGAGTGGACAAATTAACCATGAAAAAACAATAACTACATAAAAAAACATTGAAATAATTATTTATATATCCAAATTCACAAAAGCACATAGGAAATATTTTATAGACCAAAGAAGTTTAAATTGGACGGTCTTATTTTGAAAAGTCCAAACCAGGGTTGGTACCGTATTTCATAGTGTATGCGTGACCGATAAAAATGCCACTGAGGGCTTGTTTGACCAGTCTTTACCGTTACTTTACTGTTCCAATAAAATAAAAAAGAATAGAATATAGAACATTTAATCCCACTTACTTTATCTGAATCAAGGTCCGGGTCTTCTTGACACAATCGAAACAAAAAAGACTTTGGATCCCTACATAATGTCTGTTTGGTCGTAATAAAGTAGGTCCCACCAACGTTAAGCCGAACCCAGCGTGAGCCCGGCTTGTCTAACGGTTCGGACGGTGAGCCCGAGTTACTCTTTAGCGGGAAACCGAACACCGACCTACCGCTGCATCCACTGCCGGGGCTAAGCTGGTTGCTGCTCCGCGGAGGAACCATGAGAGTGGGCGACGCTAAGCGCATCGAGCCCCGAACGTCTCGATGATCGGGCTGCTCTATAGTCGCTGTTCCACTCGGTTCCACCACATGCAGTTCAGCCATTTTCCCCCCTTCTAAACGACACTCACGGCAGCACCGCTTAGCTAACGACCCACTGCGGGGAAGCAGCTTCTCCAAACGGACTGGTTGTAAACAGAGCGAGGGGATTGTTCCCCGAGGGCATCAGGGCGTTGCCGCCTCCAGACCAGAGATTAGAACACAAGTAAAAACATCAACAGACGAAAGACTTCTGCAGCTCTACCGTTATTCAGCTCTTTCTAATATATATAGTGCTCATTTTTTGCTATACTAACGTTATTCAGAGAAAGACATTTCTTCCGGGTTGTAACATGATTACTGTTTACTTCCTCTGTGACGTGTTTTTTCAAAATAAAAGCACATCCAAGGGAGTGCAGGTTTCCTTTCCTCCATTAGAAAAAAAAAATCAGAAATTGAGCGGAAAAAAATTATCAATTAAATAAAAACACGTATTACTATGGCCAATGGATATGGAGGACCAGCTCTACCATATTTAAAAATAAATGCAGAAATAAATAAAGGATCAATAAATAAATAAGCAAACTATCAGCTGTCTCCCAAAATACAATAAACCAATAAACAGTGTTGGGAAAGTTCTCTTTCTACGTGAACTAGTTCAAAGTTCAGTTCACACATTTTAAAATGAACTAGTTCAGTTCATAGTTCATAATTCAAAACCAAAAACGAACTAGTTCATAGTTCTTTTATTTTTTTTTTTTCATATATTGCTCAATTACACCATAGCCTACTGTAGAACGACAGACAGCAATTATTTTATCAGTTGTAACTCTGAAACTGTGCGTCAGATTTCATCTTCATATCCAGTTTTGAATCCTTATCCAACCAGGGTTTACATTAGCATTGAGGGGACAGCATTTCCCCATTGTTGCTTTAACGCTTTGTTGCTGTCCATTCACTTCACACTAGTAGCAGCTGCAGCTTTCACCCCTACAGTATATTCTCAAAAACATCAGGAAAAATGTGCTGCTTGAATGGTCTTTTTAATGAGGAATTATTAAAAGAAAAATAGGAAAATAGTCTTTAAGGTGCAAATGTTTTTTTTTATTATTTTAATAATTTTTTCCATTTGAAATTCCATTTCAATACATACTAAAAAGGAATCCTGGAATCCTGGAAAATTATACCAGGCAGGTTTAACAAACAAGTTACATGGATAGTAAAACCCTCAAGAACAGGGGTCTTCTATGTTTTCCAGACCAAGGACCCCCAAACTGATGGCGAGATGGAGCGGGGACCCCCTAACTATATATATTGTATAAAATTGTGTCCTATAGTCAATCTATTACAGATGGAGTAATGTAAAGAAATTAATTTCTCCCTGGGATTATTAAAGTTTTTCTGATTCTGATTCCTGGTTGTTGTGAAGGAAACGGTGCCCAGCTTGAAAGAGCTCCTGTGTGTCGCTGAATGTGTGCATTGATGACTGAAAGACATCTTTTGTCTCCATTTTTCTGTTTACTACAGTGTGTTGATTTCATGTTAATGTGGATTTAAAGACATTTCAATTAGTGGGGGGGAAAATTGCAGGGGGGGGATATAAAAATATCAACTAACCATGCAGACCCTCATGCAGTACCTCCGTAGACACCCTAGGGGTCGCGGATCCCCTGTTGAAGACCTCCGCTCAAGAAGATTTTACTAACAAACTGAGGGACCAGACTGAGGTAGGAATTTAAGGTTACTGAAGTGCGGATTTTTTTACTGAAAGCCGGCGGGCCACCTGGTCATAAAACTGTTCTAAGTGATCATACTGCTGCTTTGTCGCCTCCACGGTAGCCTCCATGCTGCTATGGATTCCACGCCGCATTTTGTTTTGATGACGCACGCGGCTGTAGGCTACGACGCTGGTAGCTGCTGTTGCCAGATTGGGTGTTTTTCCCGCTACATATTAAGGCCTGTTTACGGTTTGATTTAGCCGGGGTTTCGCCTGGAGGGCTCTATAGAAATCTGGCAACCTATTGAACGGAGCTGAACTGAGAGAGTGTGCCGTTCACAGACACCAGAATGAACGAGTTCGCAATAACGTTCACCAGGCAGTAATGCAGTACGTTCAGTTCACGTTCGCCCAAAATATGAACGAGTTCATGAACTTTCGTTCAATGAACGCGTTCAGGCACAACACTGCCAATAAATGTAGGTAGAAATTAAATTATACAGTGAGACATAAATGTATATATCTCCTTTAATTAGCTTCTTTGTTTATTCGACTTTGTAATAAATGCCTTATTTACTTATTGTCCTTTATAATATTCAACTTTATTTAATAATGACTTATTTTTTAAGTATTTATTTGTGTGCATGTTATAATATTTTTGTCTGTTTAATTCTTCCTTTGTATTTTTTGTTACCCTATTTATTTCTTTGATGCTATTTATTTCTGCATGTCGTTTTTACATTTCTGTATGCATTTCTGATATATTTTGCAAATGAAGAAGGGCTGTTTTTTAGAGGGTCCATCCACCTTCTCGAATAGCATTGATTTATTTGTTTCATTTGTTTATTGTCTTTTTGGGGGCAATTAATTGTATGCTTGTTTATTTATTGAGCATTTATTTATTTCTGTATTTGTTTTTAAATATGGTAGAGCTTGTCCTCCATAAATGGAAAAATGTTTTGGTATAAAAGTTTTATTCTGGCCTACAAAATCATTATCCAGCAGTTATTGATACACAGATATAAATATGATGTCGTTGTAATGAGCGAATGTGAAACAGTTCAAAAGGCTTGAATGTACTTGAAAGGCACTGTAGATATAACTTTTAACTGAGTAAAAGCTTTTGTAATGTTAAACTGATAAACTTTTTGTTGACAACTTACAGATATTGTACTTACAACATTTTCTTTTTTTTCACTATGTTAATGTTCTAGAAATGATTCATTGATACAAGTAATTGCCATTTTACATTTTCAAAGTTAGTCTCTATCTATTCATCTGTTAAAGATAGACTCTGTTTTTGCACCTTGAAGCTCTATCTCTCCGCTTCTTTTCCCTGAAAAGAAATCACTTGGGACAAACTCTTTAAATAAAAATTCATAACTTATATGTATTAAATAAGCAGGAGACATGACAACAGATTCTGATATAAATTGTAATCTTACTCAAATCAGAGAAATTGCTTAGAATGTACAGAATGTCCGCTGCTCACCTCCAGGCTCACCTCCCAGGAAGTGGCCCCCTATTAATAGTTAAAAAGTGATTTTTATACATCTCCAGTCTGCCACATCATCTTATTTTACATCATACACATTAGTAGATGATTAGTCATCCTTGGCTCCAGCCTTATCAAAATATTACACATCGTTCCTAGCTAAAGGACAGCGCTCTCATTCAATTTCCAAATCTTTGCCACGTACAAAATTAAGATTATAACTGTATATCCAGACAGATGAACTGTTCTTATCAGATTAAAAGTCAGTTCTTACATGCAACAGGCAGTCAATACCAAGGTGTAATAAACTCACACATTTTCAATGATAATTATCCTGACACATCCCTTGTCAAAGATTATCAGGCCACGGATGGTATACACTTTAAAGAGGTCACTAGTCTATAACAGTGGGTATGCCTATTTAAAACAAAAGAAAACAAAACATTATATATATATATATATATATATATATATATATATATATATATATATATATATATATATATATATATATATATATATATATATATATGTGTTATAATCTGATTTTCGTTTGTTTGTAGAATTTGAGAAGACAAGGAAAGGAAGCGCAATGGTGTAATTCGTCTGTTTAGCCTCTAGAGGTCAGTGTTGATTTTCTGCCGCTACTGTTTTCAAACGAAGGAGAATTTGAGTGGTGGTGGGCGCGTTTGGTAGCTCTGCTGTTAAAATCCTATTATTTAATTCCACCAACAGGTGCCATACTGATTAAAGTATTTTGTTTTTAGATTTGCTGGTTTAGAAAAAGTAAGGAATGCTTTTTGTGTCTATCTATACATTGTTTTATGGACTATATGGATGAGCTACCAACACTTTAGCATCCTCAACTGACATGCTAGTTAGCTTTTTAGCATCAGAAAACGTAAATTGTAGCAGTGCATCATTAATAATGTGAAGTAACAGCGTTTATAATGGCTTGTATTTCAGATATATATTAGAATAAGGTTGTCGTGCTGTTGTGTTGCAGCTGCATGGTTGTTTATCTGAAGCTTAGCTATCCCATTCCATCCTTTCTCTTTGAAAGTAATAAAAGCCCCTTCTGTCAACAGCTACAGCAATCATGAGTGAGTTTAGGATCCACCACGACGTGAACGAGCTGCTCAGTCTGCTGCAGATCAGAGGAGGCGACGGGGCGGAGGGATACATTGACCTGCTGCAGAAGCACAGGACTCCCTATGTCACCACCACAGTCTCTGCTCACAGTGCAAAGGTAGGTTAAACCCAGAGGAGAAACAAACACCTTTATAGTTTTCTTCTATCTAATTATATATAGCTGTGTATATCAGTTAATTGAGGATATTTTAAAATAAAATAAAAGAGCATTGTATAAACATAAAAATAACACAGAAGCCACAGTACCGAAACTACTCTACTAAAAATCACAAACAACCTTCTGATGGCAACCGACACAGATCTCATTTCTATTCTTATCCTTCTGGACCTGAGCATGACGCAGTTCCGCACTCCATCTTTCTCAATAGACTACCTTCAGTCATGCACCCCTCCACTGGTTCCATTCCTTCCTCTCTGACCGTTATCGTTTCATCCAAATTAAGTCCATCTACTCAGATCCATCCCCTTTCAGCCTCAGGGTTCTGTCCTGGGGCCCCTACTTTTTATCATCTACCTTCTGCTATTTGGTAACATCTTTCGGAAATTCAGTATCAATTTCATTGTTATGTGCATGACACCCAGCTCTATTTATCTGGTAATACTAACTCCAAACTCCGTCCAACATCCCTCACCTCCTGCCTTGCTGAAATAAAGTCCTGGTTCCCCCTTTAACATCCTGAAGCTTAATCGCAACAAAACACAAAGCTGTAAAAACTAAAAAAAAAAAACAGATCCTCCTGGTAGGAACCAATTTTTCTTTCTTTCCAAGATTAACTGTTTCTCTTTTAAATTGAGAGTGTATATTTAATATACACAGTCAATTATACATAATATATTTAATATTATTATATGTAATTTCATTGTCCTTGGGTGTCCTGAAAGGTGCCTTAAATTAAATGTGTTATTATGGTGATATATTTAAGATCTGTTTTCTATTGTCCTGTAGTTTATCATGTTTTGCTAATGTCTATGGAAATGCTAGCGTTAGCGACTAACGCTTCTCA